CGTCATTCATCAGTATAGTATGCCAGTGTATTATGGTACCATATGGTTTTATATCGAGTTGCCCTCACAAAGGCTCTCTGTCTGCAGTTTACTAATTGCGAGCCGTAATCAATAGTTTTTGAGATATTATTCAAACTTTAGAACATTAGATGTGTCATATCATGTGGTTGTCATCGTCATATTTTCTTCGCGCTCCTAAACACAAACGCCCACCAAGTTACAAACCGTTTTCCCTAGAATCCTCTGGGCACATGTAGTACGTCATATAGGAAAGATTTCGCAATTTATTATAAGGTATAACAACTACTATATAGGTTTTATCATTGTTTATAGTATTAGATGATTAATGGTACTGAATAGCTGATATTTTGAGTAAATTTATATTTTCGTTGTTCTTCCGATGTGACTGATCATTCTGATTCAGCAAGGAAGAAATGAGGAAACGCGCGTGTATATCATAAAGGTCTCGCAGCATATCAAGGCCAAACAATTTTGTCATTCCATCGCATAACCGGTTTTTCTATCGTTGTTAACCAACGAGAACTTACGCGAAATGCGATTTAGTGATGCTTGTTAGAGTGTTTTACTCGGCCGGCGTTAATTAATAATTTATTTGCACGGGAAAATTATTTTCATGACATATTGACATGAGCCGAAATGAAAATAAAATATAGGTGCCTATAGCATAATATTATCTGCAACTCGCGTATTTTTTTTCTTCATTTGAAAACTATATTATAATAATAATATAATATGTGTAATGTGTATATTATAGCAGCACGTCTCATATATATTATGATTTAATCGTATGACTCATACTTAATGTACCTAATGTGAATTGATCGTAGTAAATGACAAATATTATAATTGAACTCAAATCTGATTAAATTGTCAATAATAGGTATAGATAATAATATACAATATTTGTATAATGACATCGTCTTATTATATTATTATATTATCTTAATATCTTATACAAATTATTATTAGTCCTTAATTATATCGAATTCGTAATTTTATGCTTTATTGTATTATTATAGTATATATATATGTATGTATTATATGTTTATAATTATTTCATTTAAATTTAAACAATTATTATATTACCGTATAATATTATTTTAATAGCATTGAATTCTTTCGAGAATGTCAATTTTAATTATTTTAACCATTTGTGTATAAATAAATTATTATGAATCATTATTTAAACACTATACGAATTCGGTATGAGTGCAAATTGTGTTTGGAAAATAATACTTACATCAATGCAATAGCGTTGTATATAGTCCAGACGAGACGCAATACTGTGTTTTAAGTACGATGTCGTCATTTGTTTGGGGTTCGACGCCTATAATAATATAGAGGATATATTATATTTTATAACAATTTAATATATTATTATATACGAAAATACAACACCAATAAATTTATATTTATTTATCGTTAAGTAGTTTCATATATCAAAAAATAACGTCAGTTGTTAAGTACCCGTGTATATATGTATATAGCATATACGATATATTATATGTGTCCATTAAATACCCGACGAGTAATGTAATATATAAATCGTTGTTATACGTATATAGGCATATAATATAATATATTATACTACTCTTTGTATTAAACTTTGTTACAGACAAATTAATAATATCATTTTACCAGAGGGTATCTCGTATAGGTACCATTTTCTCGAGGCACTAATGGCCGTTCGATTAAAAATCGGAAATATCAATCCACTCGTCGGCTTAGTAATATTATTAATATTCACATTTCGCACGATAAACGATCGAATTTCGATAAGTGAAACAATCATCTATATAGTATCGTATACGCGAACACGACTGGTGATAAATCGAAGGGTGCCGATCCGTTTCACGAATATAATAATATTAAATTATTATGTGGCACCATCGTTTGACAATCATTACGTACAAAATTTGATTTCACACTTCGCCGAACGGTCAATTGGGGCGGGAAAATCGAAAAATCGTTTTCTGGCGCTTTAACGTAAAGGCACACTAACGAAATCTGTCTAATAGCTATAGAATAATGCATTTTATAATTGGATACATTTCGAGTTAATATTATCATATTATAGTATACAATAATAACTATTCTTATATGCAATTATTTGCCCGTCCGTAGGCCATGGATATTTAATTAAAATAAAAAAAAATACAAAGGTAGTTAATAGTTATAGACAATAGACGTAACGTAAATATTTAAATATTATAATAGTATGTACCACACGCTACCGCCTACCATAATATAACTAAACGAGCAAATTAAATTAAATGGAAAGTTAAACGAAATTTATTCAACCCATCAATATAATATTCGGATTATCGAATCTATAATAACTTTGAACTTTTCTTTTTTTTAGACAAAATATTTACGTAAAGACGTCATATTGGGAAAGAAGTCTGATAGCAAAAAAAAATATCATACTTAACTAAATAGTAAATATTATAAACTTCGAGCACGCATATCCCAAAAAATGTCTAAGTTTATCCGAGCTAAGTATATTAATGGCGATAGGGATTTGTATGGAAATCAACGCTATTTATAGTATCAAAATGAACCTGCAGGTCTGGTGAATGATTATAATTTTGCTTAGGGCGATGCGGTTATATCACTTATGCGAGTTAGTGGTCATGTGATGGACATTTTTTCCAAGTTCTGGACATATATTATGCTATACCTAAGAGGTAAAAAAAAACAAATTTGTTACCGCTGCAGTTTATTGTTAATTAACAATAATGACTAAACAACAAATAAATAAATGTATGGATCATTTGTAATGTAACAAAAATTTTTATTTTAAATAATTTTTTTCTCAGATTTTTTTTTTTCCGTTTGGCGTTTATCATAATATGCGCTATCATCTCAGTGTACGTTTTACATTGCACGCTCGTTTTTCCAATACCTGCGGAGTTGCAGAGAATTAGCAATAACAATTATTATAGGCAACAGTGCATCACAATATTATATTATGACTTATGACATTATTAACGATAATAGGTAGGGAATATTGGAAAAACGATCTCGTTTTTTCGTACTGATGAGTGATACCTTCACGGCGGTGCATCATGCGCAATACGCAGTATTATTATTCATAACAATATTATTTAATTATTTTAATTACGGTGGTCGTCGAGACGCGAAAAATATAGCGGCGGCGCTTGTTTATCAAAAGCACAATAATAATAATATAATATGCGCGCGGGGGATGTCGTGTGTGTGTGTACACTCTCATTCACGGCGGCGGCGCGGCGGCGTCATCGTCAGTCGCGGCGGCGTTGGTGGGAACGGGGTGAGGGGCCGAGGGGGAGGAGACAAGGTCGGATGACTAATGCACAGCGAGAGAGGTTACGATATTATAAAATTATAATATCATACCAGCCGGTTTGTCCGCCGCGCAGTAGTACGACGTCGTGTTTATGCGTTACCCCTCTCTGGCCCCTCGCCGTGACACTCTCCGCCCCTCCCAGCCCGGGCCTTCCGTGCTCCAGAGGACCGCGTGCGACCGCGCTCGCAGATCCGAACGCCGCCAGTTGCCATCATTCGACTTGTAGCCGCGTAACGTGTCGCACGGAGCCGATCGTAACCGTTTACCGCGTATCCGAAAATATGTGTGTGGTGAAAATTATATATTATTGTGCGTAGCCTTCCGCGGGCAAACGTTTTCCTCGACGACCGCTTTCCGCCGGATCTTTCGCACAGTTTAATAAAATTACTACTGTAGTTATATTGTATTTCAGTAGTATTTTTCATTGAATATAATATTGCCCACGTCATACACGTCTTGGTACATTATCGACAGTAATAATTTTTTTTGAACATCGTTTTGAGTGTTTCGACGCGATAATAATTATAAACAATAGTAATAATAATAATAGTAATACAAATACTCGTGTTCCGAATAGAAGACTGTCACTGTTGTGAAAAGCGCAAGATGACCGCCGCAGTAGGACACAAAAAACTCACGCTCAAGCTCAAGCTGTCCCTAGACGCTTGTCCCACTTGGAGTAGAATCCGTTCAGGTACACAAATAACTATTGATCGACGACGGTCATTTCGAACGGGGGGGTTCGGCTCCCCCCATCCTATTATTATGTGCGAGCAATCGTAACGTATCATAATTGAGTTCTAAAATTATATATAAATTGTATATTATATTATTATACCTATCTACCGACTGCCTAGTATACATACGAGTATATCTGTTTGATTTTTTCTATTTTACTGGTACTTGGCAGAAGTACGTGCCGACAATGGTTGGTAGTCAGTTACTTAGCCTACGCACCGGGACTATAAACGAAATTTACATTTAGAACTGTTCACACGCAGGATAATAATTTAAATATTCGAAAAGAAAGTTACAAGTCTATGTATAATACTCACGGGTACAATTATACTACTCGTACATTACTATAAATAGTGAACAGATAATAACGCTATGTTGTGTATTAACATTTTTATATACAAACAACGTTGATTAACGCTTTTACTTCTAAAAACCATAAAATGTTTAATGTTACTCCCGTCTTCTCAAGTTACAATTTCCTTGTTTACACAAACGAAATATAACTTGAAAACCAAGACTGTTTAGTTTAACACTGTATAAAACTATAAACATATTTTAACAACTAGTTTGCTTTAAGACTTACTCTGTGTTTGTAAATAAAGCGATTCCATGTTATTATCGCGTGTACAAACATGTCGATTTTGTTTATAGAATACAATAATCATTGTCTAGATCAATCCCAACGATTAACGATAATATATCAGTAGATTGTTATAAAATCTGCGTATAAATTAATGTCTTATTGGAGACCGATCGATTTCAAATAGTACGTAGGTAGTACCTATAATATTACTTAGAGTCGATCCACGCCGGAAAATTTTATCCTCCCGTCCTCTTACAACACATCGCCCTTGATTGCGGTATTTAGTCTCAGACGGTCTTTTTAATACGAATTTTTTATTTTTCCATTCAGGTGGCCACAAAGAGTTTCATTCCCGGCATAAGGACATGTGCGAGAACTCGCTGCTGCCGGCGCCGCTGATCGCCAGCTGCCCTCCAGATGTGGACCGCGAGTCCATGGACACCCACCCTCTCACCAAGGTGCTGCCGTTCTTGTACCTTGGTAACAGCAAAGATGCCGACGACCGGGATGGTATGATCGCCATCGGGGTGACACGTGTGCTGAACGTGACCACCAGCCAACAGTCGCCGTCCCCGACCATGGACCATCGCGCTTCCGGCGTCGTGTACAAGCGACTTTCCGTCTTGGACAACGGGCATGCCAACCTCAAGCAGTACTTCGAGGAAGCGTTCGAATTCATCGGTAAGTAACCGAATTCCATATAATATTCCTGTACCCAAAAACCCGATGGTCTCTTACTTGTGTTATTATTATATAGACCAAACAATTATAGTTAATACCGTTTTCGACATAACTATACGGTTCGCTGCCCAAATCGATCACTATACGTTATCGTTTTCGTCGTGCGTTTAACCGGTGCAGGATACCACCGTTTGTGACACGTAATTGCGCTTCAAACCATATACGTAGTGCTCGTCATTGTTATTAAACGGCGGTAGTATAGGTTTAGGGAGTCATGTGCTCATAGGGGGTCGCTTTTTCTGCCGCGAAAAAAGGGCGGGAAAACAGAAGCCGCTTCCCCTACGTTGTTTCCGTGGACCCGTGAGTCACGGTGAAATACGGTGGCAGCTGTATCGCACAAGACTCTCCTACGACTATCATGCACACGTTTATATGGGTGACGTCATCGCCCGCGTTTGACCGAGTTTTATTGTTTGTATTGTTTTCAGCGACAGCGGCGGTGGTGGGTCCCTCGCTCTGTGTAATAATATCGTGTTGACAACGTCGTCGTCCGCGGACACCCGTCCGGAAACACGGCACCCATCCCCGCCCTTGCTCTTCAGCCTTCCGACAAAACAATAACATCGGTCCGACCGGTATTTAAAACCCGTACTTGGGAAACTATTAGAGGCGAACGTTGTTAGGTGTACCGTAATGGCCCGTCAGCTATAGGGTGCGCCCAGAATCCCTTTTTCATATCACGAGTGGAACCTCCGACACACGTCGGCAATGTTTATTATTGTTTTTACACGAGACCGGGGAAACGTTTGTGCGAGCGGATTTCTAGACGAGCGCACCGGTGCGGTCGTGTTTAGCCATTTATAGCTCATCGGCGCACGACCTCTCGCGTGAGTCACGTTGTGTTATTATATATACGTCGTATCCGCTGTATACTCGGCGGAGCTGTTCACACCGATACTGCTTCTAAGCGATATCGTTCGAGTTGCTCGTTAAATATTTTCGTACGTCTTGTCTGTACAGATTTTACGTTATTCGTTTTTCCAAGTATAAATCACACACGTCTATGTGTATATTAGGTTATTCCCAATTACCCGTCGTCTTCGGTACGCCACTTGCCCCTCCTCCCAAAAAAAAAAAAAACTATTACTGCTAATGACTCATATATGTTCCCGGACGTAATGTAATTGCCCCGTGATTGTCACCCCTTTCCGCGGCGTACACATGGTGACAACCCCTATGAGTGATATTCGTGAGGGTACTAGAACTACGCATGACCCGTTGATGTCACAATAGATGACGTCACGGAAGCTCTCCTGTTGCCCTCTTATTATATACGTATAATATAGAACAGTAAATATATAGTCCTGCAGGACTATTAATTTCAATAAAACCGTGGGATCCTGTGGTGGCGGTGACTTGAGCGTGGAAACTCAAAATTAGATCGTCCGCTTGTGCGACCCATACGATTATGACACCATACGCGTAGTGTCGTGCGATGGATAGGGTGGGTGTGTTACGTTGGTTATAACGTACGTACAACTCAAAATAGACTTACGCGTTTAGAAGTGTGTCTAGAGCCAAAATTAAAACCGTCAGTTTGGACGCACACCGAGATTTGATTTAACGCTGGACGTCTACCAGATCTCTGATCGCGGTTGTACTTTTATAGCCAAATTCGGGTGCCGCTCGCGACTTGTTTATTTCTGGCTCAGTTGTCTGCTAAAATTAACCTCAAAACACACGCCATAACGCCATTTATCGATGACGGTGAGTCACATCTTGTGTAGTTTGTGTACAAAAGACGGCTATACTGCCGTGTGTACAAAATATTGATAATATATGCCAATATTGATTTGTAGGGATCAAACGCGCATACGACACGAACACGCGCCAACGTTTAAATATGTTTAATCAACAGTAAACCGATATGTAATAGCATAAATCACGCACCCGACCGGTACAACTACCTACCTCGCCCAAGTTCCACCATTTGCCCACCCATCCTATTATATATTATAGACGGTCGCCACTGACCTGTTACAGAGTTGTAATCGTGTACTCATCGCGATCCGTTTCGTTGGTTTTTTTTTACAGAAGGCGCTCGGAAGTCCGGCGGAAGCGTGCTGATACACTGCCAGGCCGGCATATCTCGGTCGCCGACCATAGCCATCGCGTACGTGATGCGCCACCGGAAGACGTCTATGGTGGACGCGTACAAGATGGTCAAGGCGGCTCGGCCGATCATATCGCCGAACCTCAACTTTATGGGCCAGCTGCTTGAGCTCGAGCAGAGCTTACAGCAGTACGAACAGCAGCAACAGCAACAACAACAACAACAGCAGCAGCAGCAGCAGCAACCGCGTTGCGGACAGTCTTGGGCCGCCGCCCAATCTGCCGCAGACGAGCTGTCGCCCGGGTGTAGTACATAAAAAAAAAAAAGGCCGCCGCGCCCGACGACCGTGTTAGCACGCACGCACACACGTGTTCGCGTGTGTGCGCGCGTGCGCAGGACAGAGACAAGGTACCGTGTCCCCGCTTCGGGCATGTTAAGATATAATATTAAAATATAGGTAGGTATATGTATATAATATACGTATACGTATGTGTATGATATTTGTTTGTGTCGATTTTGCGTTCGAGATATTCCAACCTATTTAAAATGTGTTCCTAATAATTAGTTTTTCCATTCTCGCGCAAATGTATGTGTAAAATAAAAAAATTTATATATTATATAATAATATTAAATAATTAAAAAACGAAACTGTAGTAATAATAATAAGTACCTATCTATGTCTAAATGTATATATATATATAAACTTGCGTACGTATCCGTTTAAGAATGTGAAAGTATATATATCTATATATCTGCAGTATATCATAACGCGAATGTGCCTATTATTATTTTCAATCATCATTATTATATTGTTGTTTGTGAAATGTTACGAGTAAAAAAAACATTGCCCGTACGAATCCACGGGACATCAAAATATGTATTATTATTATCGTACGGCGCGATTTCTCTGCAACTATATAATAATATATAAACTTTTAGACGTGATGACACCGCCGCTGCATCATATATTATCATACACTGGTGTAGACTTGACACGATTCGAGAAAAACGAGCATTATCTAGTCTTGCAAATTTTGTACATAAGATATATTATGATATAATAATAATATACGTATTATTACCCGCTGAGACTATACTACTATTTTTTTTTTTTTTTTTTAATTACACCATTATTATTATTATTATTATATATAAAATATATGTTATTATCGTGTATAATATGAATTAATGTAAAAAAAAAATTGATGTAAATATTATGTTTTTTTTTTAACAAAAAATTAAAGGCTGTGTTTGTAGATATTTAAATCATAGAAATATAATTTATGACGATCATGTATACCCCCCCCCACGTATTTTTTAAACTTGAGTCAATATGTAGCGTGATGATTTGTATTTTATATTTTACCGTCTAAATACAAAACGAAATCGTTGAAAACAATAATATGATATATTGCATTTTTGTTAAAATTATTACACTCTACTCTACTACGTTGCAAATTGCGTTTTTTTGCCCCCCTCGCCGATGTCGTCTATAACCTTACCTATATTGGCTATATTATGCGTATTATGCGACACCGCGATCAACGCACTCGGTAGCTCGCGTGTGCGGCGCATGAATCACTCCGTAGACAATGAATCATGTGTGCATCACATTATGGTTTGTGATATTGTTGTAATATGTATTATGGGTGTGCGTAATGGGGCGCCTTAAAATGTGAGTGAGTGTGTGTTGAGTGAGTGTGTACGAGTAAATTGATTTAAATATACATGTGTGTGTTTATATATATGTTAGGTACATATATTTGTGTTTGACGGAGTAGTTTAGATTTTTGATGGGGAAAAGGTGGGTGGGGGGTAGACGAAATACAAAATTGTATACTAGTTGATTTTTATGCGTTTTTCCTTTTTTTACATCTCTATTTTAACAATTGGTTTTTAAATTGTATTGTTATTATAGGTATAGTACAGTTCACAAGATTAGGAGGTACACACGTTATATAGGTATTGTATGTGTGTTATGATCCTGAATCCAGCTTAAGTTTTCTATTATTTTTTTTCAGTCATCGATAATAATTGACATAATACAAAATACTAATTTAGTTAAGATGATTATATGTATCTCTTTTAATAATAATCTTCTATACATATAAAGCCCAAATACCACTTAGTCACTGATCGCTGTAACTCAAAAACTACGCAACGTACGAACTTGAAATTTGGAATAAAGGTTCTTCTCATATTTTCACTGTGCAATAAGAAAGGATTTGCCGAAATTCGCATTTTAAATAGGTGCTCAAACAGGGACATCGAGGTTCACGATGGAAATTGGAAATTTTATTTTTATTTATTATTGGTTGCCATTGGTTATTATAGATTGATTATTAAAAGTTAAATCATACACTTACGTACAAACAGCACTGGGTCCGCGATCTACCGCAGGTAGATTGCCTACCTGATAATATACTACTGCGAATCAGAATGTTTATTCCTGGCAACAGAAAAGTTAAGATACATTTTGAACACCATACACTGAATATTAAATAACGAACTGAACAAAGTATGAGTCATATAGAGTTGTTACATTTAACGGGCAACGAAGTGCACAGGATCAGCTAGTAATAATAATAAAAATAATAATTTATTGCCAGTTAAAATATTGTACAGGTGAAAAATATACAAAAAGAGAAAATAAAACTAGCATTGCCCTTCACTGAGGTGTAGAACCTCTTATCGAAGGGCACGAGTACTTATAACTAAACTTGGTGAGAGACAAAATAATAAAAAATAATATAATGGTTATTAATCAAATTCTACAGTAACTGACTAATACTAAAGAATAATAAGCTAATACTTATAAGCTGAACTTTTGTAAGATATATAGGCAGTAATACGTTAATAATTAAAAGTGTAGGTATATATATAGATTTTAAAATACAATTTATACTGCCAATGACAATAGTATGACATGGGATGATGGATCTTACACGAACATATAAGAAAGGCTTAAAATAATCGAGAAAATCACCAATAATTATGTAAAAATTATTGAGCATTATATATACGAACAGTGAATATTTTTTATTTTTTTTATGGGAATAAGCCACTAGGTAAGTATGAACTTATTGTACCTATACACATTAAACATTTATGAATACAAATATTTTTTTTTCATTAATTATTGATAAATCGTCTTTTGAATAATTGACGTGCCGTGTGTGTTGTGGTTATTCGAGGTGCGTGCTTGTATGACGGACCTCACACTTGTGCAAACATCTGCGACGAATGTGATACATTATAGGTATAATATCGGACAATCTTGCATAGTTGCACATTATACTGTTACATTTAACCGCACTATTGTTAAGGATATAATATCATCATTATTATTTTTAATCGTGGGCAAATATTATGCATATTGTATTAAATGTATTATATTATATTTAAATCAACAGTTTTATAAAAACGATAATAATTGTATAGCATAAGTAATTGGAGGAATGCATCAATTACAATAACAATTATTTTTCTTTTTTTTATGGTTAAGGCTTCAACTACTAGGTTATTAGCCTGTGGTACTGTAGGGGAGGGTACTGTAGATTTGTTACACGTGTGTGTTTGTTTTGGCAGAATTTTAGGTTTGGGCACCCGTAGATACCTGCCATGCCCGCGTGGGAGATGGTGGCACTTATTCTCCGGACACCGTGACTTGCCCGAAGAAAAATGCCGCCCGCTCGGCCACTCCGTCCCCCAATAACAATTATTATCAATCAAAAAATCAATATCATATAACTAACCTGCAGCTTAGTACTTCATTCTTCGATTCAGTTATAACCAGGGGTTAAAGTGGGGGGGGCAGGAGGACTCAGCCCCCCTACGACTGATGGCGGTTAAAACTTAAAAAAAGCGTCCCCTTTAACAAATTAGGATTTTATACATTAGACATACAATTATAAATGGAACGCTTAAAACTCAAAACTTTTTTTTATAACTGTTTATTTTTTGGCCAAGTCGGGAAATACAGCTAAATACAATAACATATTATTCCAATATAATATTGTGGATTATTCATCGCTTTTCTCCATGCAGCGAGCGAAAACCTCTGAACTTTTTCGTAGAAATCGTTTTTCTAAAACCACTGAGCGTGTACGAGCCGCAGCCCCACCCCTAAAATGTTAAGAAAATTTACAAAATTATTTCTTAAGAGAAAGAAAGTGACTGTTGCAAATACAAATTTATAGGGTTGCGTATTACTGCAGGAACCGAAGAAACCAAAAATAAAACCTCTGCATCAATATTCTTAACTTATGGAGACCCTAGTTAAACTGATTCTGTGTAAACACATTATCAGCCCCCCCCCCCCGTACCAAAGACAATCCTCTGTGCACCACTGCATAATTTATTATACCCCGTGACTCTAACCTACAGTGTTTACGGTGTGGTCCTCTTCACTTATTGCAATCAGATTTTCGAGGAATGATCTTCATATTAGGTATATTATTATAGTGGCGCATGTTCGCTATTATATAGGTACATCAATACAATATCGTGATTGGGACTTTTAGACAAGCCAATCGAGACCTAGATGTGCTAAATGCCTAAATACGTGGGCGTGGATACGTAAGGAAACCAAATCACGGTGCACATGGGATACCGCCTTATAAAAAAAGTTTTGACTGGATTTTTCTAAATGTATCTCATTATTTCTAAAGTACCTACTACAAGAGTGACCTATTAGTTATTACTTTTTATAGTATTTCTGGCACATGAATCGCTAACTGCAGAAAGGGGACAAGTAAATTTTTATCAATTTCGATTTTGTTATAATTTTTCATTAAGCACGCCTAAATACATCGTTTACTGCAGAAAGGAGTCAAATCCGACTATCCAAATGCTAAATATAGTTTTTTTTTTTTTTTGGGGGGGGGGGTGTCCAAAACATGTATATTGTAATTTTATTGAATTTTGGTTTTGATATTTAGTTAAAAATAAGATATTGAAAAAATTTCTTTGTCTCCCTACCCTCCCTCAGATACGGTCTTGCATACTGTATATTATACAAAAACAATTACACGCAAAGCCGTAGCTGGAACAAATTTTCGGGAGATGAAACCATTAACTTAAAATAATACCTTTATAATATTATAATAATACACCTAAATAAGGATTTTTATGCATTACACAAGTGTGATAAATTTTTAATTCAATATTTTTATTGTATACCAATATAAAATCTAGCAGTCTTTTTATCTTTTGCGAAACGATCGATCACATCATATGGATTGAAGAGTTACCTATAGTAGGACACTAAGAACTGTAAAACGTACTGGTAAGTTGAACCCCCCCCACCCCCTCTAA